AGAATCATTGTAAGTTATTTGTAAATGTCAATAATAAAAGTAATGGCGAATTCGCTCTTCCGGTAAACTGAACATAAATTTTCACTATAAACGTTCAAGCTGATTGCATTTGGAAATAAACATTGCGTATTGCCATGCAATGACTGTCATATCCATATTCTTTATGCTAGTCTTATTTTTGTCCCAAGGAAAGAATTCTTGCTGATTTTAAGAACTATTTGCTGGAATTCGAAAAACTCTTCCGATAAACCAATTGTTTACATTCATGGTATTGTATCACAACTAAAAGCATAGGCTTCCTCAGCCCTTGGATGATATTGGTATTCGGCTCAGCTTGCTCTAACTCGAACTAGAAGAAGACATCACGTCTTTTTACACATTCGAAACTCTAAAAGACGTGATGTTTTCTTCTAGTTCGAGTTATTCTAACACATTCCTGGCCTCGGCGTTCAGAATTGCTTAGGCTTGCTCTAAATTTTCGGGAACAATTGTTGTTTGTTTCCTGGCGAAACGAATCTATTTTCGCTTGGTGGCGAACCACTGAAATAGTGAAATTTGTGGCCATTTAGAATGTGTTAAAATCTTTTAATCTCGTTTGAAACTCAGAATCGTTTGCATGCAAATGAAAAACCAAAAGCTTGGCTTGCTCAGCAGTTACAAAAGGTTGCGTGTCAGTCGCCTTCGATAATCTGATGATGAATGCTGGAAAACAGATCGTGCTAATACTGCATAAAGTGCATTCTACTAGCTTTATTCACATTTACAAAGCTGTGGTATCTCTTCAAGGCAGATTTACGTAGATTCAATTTTACCAGTACGAAGGAAAATTAGCAGTGTGAGGCACTTCGAACTGCGATCGGTCGTTTCGTAGAGCCGAATGTTTCTTTACTTTGATTGGCTACGATTATATGCCGAAGTTAACATTAACAGCTTTGCTAATAGGGTTACAGGGTTCTCGCTTACACGGAAACCGTCTCTTCCATCTTGACGCTTGATCAAATTGCACCAACGCGCTTCCTTGTTGGGAAGTTAAAGAATTGTAAGCCAGAACCACTTCCATCGCTGTTATATTCGAAACTATTACACTCAGCTGCAGCAACATCTTTCCACGGCTTCGGTGTTTCCTTGTCTTACTTGGTTTGCCTGCGTTTTCTCTCGGTCCTTTTACCAAACTTGGTTCGACTTATCGCTCCTTTAGTAGCACAGATCGAACAGCGATCGAACAAGAATACAGGGGTAGCCTCGCTTCGGTGCAAAAGCTGCGCCCTCTAGACGAAAATCCAGCGGTTTCTCAAAAGGAGCGAGAAATTCGAAAGTGGACTATTAAGGGTGTATGAGTGTTAGCTATTTAGATTGTGTAAGTAGGTGAAGTTCCAGCTCATATCTAAATTTACGGAAAATGCCTCACATATCTTTGTAAAACTTCTATAAAATATCTCGTAGTTACATCCCAATGCAAGGTACCTCATAGCAGTATATTTGTAAACACACATTATATCGGTTTGTTCGCGGTTCAGACTTCTTCTTAAATTTCAGCAGATTCTTAGCAGTCATGCATCATAGATTTGTTACAAAATTTTGGCCAGAAAAACCAAGAGACTAGTATATTACTGAAAAGCACTTGTGTATCATTGAAATGTTTCTCAGCAAAGGAAACTGAAACTGATGGAGCAAGAATTTTTCCTAGAAATCCCGTGACTGTCAAATGACGGGAAGTTATCTTGTTCTTAGTTTAACATTAACCGGAATAAACCAGGTACCGCCCATCAAAACCTGAAAAACTGGTTTTGGTGAATGCTCAGGTACTTAATGAGAGGTCCTATTCGATTTTGAAGCATCCTATCGAAGTCAGCTTCAAACTCCAAGGCAGAGGACATAAAACTTCTTGAAGATAAAATTCTTTCGATCGTCCGTCATTGACATAATGACTTCCAATTTATTAACCATCAGTCGTTGTAATTCTTGCAACGTTTAAGATATGTGGGTTACAGAAAAAACAGATTGTAATTTATCTTCGAAATTTACCATAGTGGATTGTCTTTTGCGGGCTACATGATTACATTCAATCAATTCGTCTTTTATTCAGTAGCACTGAAATAGCCGTAGTCAAAATAGCCTTCGCCATGCAGGTGGTGTATTTTACAAACCTGCTCTATTTCTTACCTATAAAATTGCCGCCAGTAACAGAATAATACCGGGGAGAATAACGAAATCAAGTTTTTTATACACTATATCAGAATTGAGGTTCAACGCCGATTGCAAAAGTGCAGCTTCCAATTTATTCTAATTCGTCAACGATATGGAATATAAGGGTTGCATCCATAGGTTAGTGAATCTTGATAGTGGCATGATTACCTGGAGTTGAAGATGCACATACTGCTCGTACAGATCTCTTCCCTTTTTTCGCATGAAGTCCTTCGAAATAGGTTCTTTTTTTCCTCGAAGGGTCACGGACAAAGCTTCTTTCGGGGTATAAAAAAGTGCTGATGGATTCATATAGATAAACGCGCTATTGAAGAATATATTTAATTCATATTTTATCTTTACTTTGCGGTAGCTAAGCCTTTCTCAAACGGTCAGTTTACAATTCAATATTTATGGTACTGCAAGTAGAGGCTAGAATAAACTACGATTTGTATGGCTCATGAAATGTTTTGAACTATCATTTTTGGTTTCCATTATTATGAAAACGAACCTCTTTGGTTTCGCCGCAATGCAGGAAATGCGAAAAAAGTAAGTCGACACTTCCAAGAAATCCCGTTGTGTCAAACCGCCTGACAGGAGACATTCGCCTGATTTGCGACGGGAAATGATATACTTCAAAATGTATTCAGTCATGTGCATCACTTTGTAGCATCATTTTTCCAAGAAAAACGGACAGTCTGATGTAAGAGAGATTTTTTGTTGCAATCTTATTGTCATATGTCAGAAGATGATGTTCCCAGCAAAATCGAAAGTTTGATAATTATGGTGTTACTCTATTTAAATTGCCACAGACGAGCAATAGACGAATATTTTTATTGCCTGTGGCACGGCATCCACATCTGATATCTCGGTCGAGATAATTTCATATCCTTTGTCCCTTCAAAATTCTTCGCTTTGAAATTGAATTTCTTGTTTCTATATTACTGAACGCTTTGAACCATTTAAACCCAGTCAAGACCTCAATAACTTGCTTTGGCTACTCATGGTGGTCAAAACGTTTTCAAATTTCATTCTCTCTGGTGTTATTTACGGTTGCAGATAAGCATTCCTGAAAACCCGACACGAAGATACAGGCCATTCGATTCATATTGAACTTCGGCGGTTTTTTAAAAGCAACTTATCCTAAACGTTTGCCCGCCGGCTCACTGAACAGCACCTGTAGATCCGTGTCGCCCGCAAAATCGCGGGTCCCATGACTATTTGCGCGCTCACAAAGGAAGCCAACGCATGTCGCGTCCTTTGATTCAAGACTCAAGTGTTAGCGTATTGTTTCCACGATACAAAGGTAATTTAACTTAAGAAAATCAATAGATCGAAGCTTTCGCGCTACTCTCTGTTTTATAAGGAAATGCAAACGCTCAACTTGATAAATATTTTGACTTCATAAGATATCTTAACGATTTAGGCCAGCAGAATGTATAGAATGCCAGAAAAACAACTAGGAAGTCGAACGGTTTTGAACTGCGCTAGAAGTTGTTTTTACTGTATGGAAATCACCTACCCAATCACTTACTTTCCATTGAACTGAAATATCCTGACCTTTTTTTACCACTTTTCGATTAGCTTCGTTCCATTTTATGATATTTTGTGCAAGCTGAGTTCTTTCATGCGAATTTACGCTTTCAAAAGGACAAAAACTTCGAGGAGACGTTGTGTTTCCAACCACGGCAATTCGTATCTACTTCGCTTCACTTACACTTACATGCAAATTACTGTTCATCCGCCCGATTTCGCTGGAGACAAAAATGTCGATTTTGAATTCCCAGATGCTTTTCTTTTTGGGCACCCTTTTGGTTTGGCTATCAAGATTTTATAAGCTAAAGTTCAGACTTTTCATTCCAACGTTTTAATGCGGGAAAGTTATGAGAAATGCTGCAACTGATTAAAGTCGCGCAACACGCTTTAAAACCGCATAACTTGATCTTCCTGATATCTTTTGTTCTTCTTGTCTCCAAAACAATAACAATGTTTTACCAACCTCCATCTACAAATATTTGACAAAAATTTGACAAAAATTTGCATTTACTAGCGACGCGTTTCTACAGGCGCGATTCCGTAATTGAAAGTGACAACGTTGAGTCAACGTTTTCACTTTCAATCCATTTCCCTCACTGTTTCCATCCTAAGCTATAGGAAAGTTTATAATCCAGGGAATTGTATTTACAATTTAGATATTCTCAAACAACGAGTTTGGTACATTCTTTTTGTACTGACACGTATCGTGGTAACATGAACAGGAGCGGTGCTCACACAAATGTAGACTAAAGAAAATCAGTGAATGTGGTCCATGTTTGTTCCTCATAAGAAGGAAACCGAACGTCTTACACCTTGCTCTAAATACTAGGACTAACAAATATCTACAAGATGATGAAAGCATTTAATACTCTCAAAATTCCTTGACGAAAAGTACTTGAACTGTTCCCTTTATTTCAAATGCCTTTTCTGATGGTCTCATATCAGTTTTAGTATTAAATTAAACAGCAGTTGCTATATAATTGGGATCAAGAATTCTAATTAAAACTTGAAGTGAATCAGCTATACCAGGGGCCGTACTGGCTGTCATCTTTATGAATCATTCATATATTTCAGCATTTAATTTAGTGTATGTACTATTTGAAATAGGTAATAATAATAATTTAATATTTATATTGCGCAAAATACATGTAAATATGATCAAGTGCGCATTACATGAAAGTAAATTATCGACATTAATAAGTTATCCAAAATAACTAAAAATATTATAAAAAAACAATGGATCTACAAAAATATATTATATACATAACCTTAAAAAAATCCTAATAAAAAGCTAATCTAAAAAAATGGGTCTTAAGGAAACCTTTAAACCTATGAAAATTGGGCTCATTTCGTATTTGTGATGGTAACCCATTCCACAGTTTAGGTGCCGCAGCTAAAAAAGCACGGTCACCCAATGTCTTTTTAGTTAAAGTTCTTGGCGTTTGAAGCATGATTCCCATTGCACACGATCTTAAATTGTATCTCTTTTCCTCCCTTTTGCTAATGAGTTCTTGTAGATATACTGGAACTTGTCCATGGATCGCTTTAAAAGTAATTATAATAATCTTAAAATGAATCCTAGATTCTACTGGAAGCCAATGAAGCGTAAACAGAATTGGTGAGATGTGATAAAACCTTGGAATCTTAAAAATAAGTCTTGCTGCGGAATTCTGGAGCTGCTGTCACTTTGCTATTTGTTTAGCTGCTAACCCATACAGAATACTATTACAATAGTCAATGCGCCCAATTATTAGGGCATGAACAAGTGTCTGGGTTGCTTGGTTACTTAAATACTTTCTTATTCGTCTTACATTTGTAATGTAGTAATAGGCTGCTTTACACGTGTTATTGATATTAACTTGAAGACTCATGTTACTATCTATGTCCCTAAGTTCTTGACCAACTGAACAGGCGGCACTTGAGCATCCTCTACTGCAAGCGAGTCAACATGAACCTTGGATAGTTGCTGACGGGTGCCTATTGTTACAAACTCTGTTTTGCCATCATTGATCTTCAGTTTGTCACACAGCATCCAGGCTCTTATCTCATTTACACACCGTTCCGTAGCAGCAATGGCATCATCGGTACTTGAGGCACAGGCAGGTTTAAATGCTAAATATAACTGCGTATCGTCTGCATAAGCATGAACGCTAGGCAGGTGTCTCTTGACAACTTCAAAGAGTTTACTGACATACAGAGTAAACAGTAACGGCCCTAAAAATGACCCTTGAGGAACTCCTTGATTTAACTGTAGAGATTCCGAACACTTGCCACTTAGTGAGACACGCTGAGAACGTCCCGATAGGTATGACACAAACCACTCCAGTGCTGTACCTTGGACCCCAAAGCTTGTGCTCAGACGAGATAGTAACACAGAATGCTCCACCGTATCGAAGGCAGCACTCAGATCCAACAACACAAGCAGAACAACTTCCTGACGACTCATTGCGATTAACATATCATTATATATCTTGAGTAAGGCTGTTTCTGTGCTGTGACCTCGTCTATACGCAGATTGCAACAAGGGGTAGAGGTCATGTTCAGAAAGGTGTGCGTGTACCTGGTCAAATACTGCACGCTCTACCAATTTCGACACATACTGCAGGTTACTAACTGAACGAAGATTAGTGAAGTCATTAATTCCAGCTTTTTTGTAACGAGGATCAATAAGGGCTTCCTTCCATACCTTCGGAAAGTGTCCCCCAAGTAGCGATGAATTGATCATCTTAGTAATAACAGGTAACAGATGATCAGGTGATTCTCATACAAGTTTAGCCGGCATGGGGTCTAGATTACACGTTTTCTTTGATGACTTCTGAATAAGTGCCAAAATGTCAGCTTCAGAGAGGGGCTTGTACTCCGACAGTATCTTTGAATCACTGACTATAGGGTCATCTGGTACAGTATCCATATCAGCAATAACGGTGGAGTCTATTTGATCACTTATCCGCATTATCTTCCGCGCAAAGAATCGCGCTATATCATTCACAAGTAAAGACTTATCATCATAATCAGGAAACGACAGTGTGCTATCATTCTTTCCAAGCAGCGTCCTGGTGGCACCAAATAACCTCCCCTGGTCACTACTATAGGTGCGAGTGTTTCATTAGGGTCCCCGAACATGAGGAAATAGATTACACAATGATATTATTTAAGGAGGAAAACGCTTCCAAGAAATCCGGCATGTCTTACACCCCGCGCCAGGAAACGTTCACTTGATATACAACGGAAAATATTATAGTTCAAACAGGGGCACCGAACGTCAATTTTCGGAAAATATCTGTTCGGAAGATGTTTTGAGATCTAGAATTTTCGGAACATTTGTTGTAAAATTTTTTGCTTGCCGCCTGTCCTAGGACTTTTTGCACGTCTAAAAATGGTACAATAGCCCATTTTAAGGGATTTTACCCTAAAAAGGTCACGCAGAATTTTTCGGGAGACTTTTTTCTGGCTGAAATTTTCGAAATGTAAGTTTTGATCCCTATAATTTTCGGATCACTAGACTTTCAGCTAGGAAATCCGAACAGATGAAAAATTTTTAGAGGATAAAAAAATGCCTATATCGCGCGTTTAAATACTAAAATACGTTCATCAACGCTATGTTTAAGTGGTTTTGAGCTATATTCTCGTTGAGTGCCCCTGTTCAATTTTATTCATTTTACATATTTGTTTATGGACAGAGTCAAGGGGCGAGGGCCCCATTTCAGTCATGGCTTTTCGAAGCCATAATTTGTTGGTCACGAGTATCCCACCTGTAGAATATGAGGCTTAAGTCCCAGCTCATATCTAAATTTAATTTTTATCTCATGGTTTATCCTAGTGTAAGGTACTTTATAGCAGTGTATTTGTAAACACGCATTATATCGGTTTCTTCGCGGTTCAGATTTATCTTTTTTTGTATCGGCGGTTTTCTATCCATAGAAACTCAATACTTTGACTGATTACAGAAGCATATAACCCCGAAGCGTATAACTTTGTCGCAATGCTCGGGTTTTTTTAGGGAACCAATCAAAATTTACTTCCTAATATGGAATTACTGATAAACGAGATTGTCGTGCGAGTGCTCTAAGGGAAAACTTGTATCGCGATGTAAATGATGCGGTGCAAAAAGCATTTACTTTTTTACGAGGAAATATTTGACAAAAAACGGAATACACTACTAATTCCCAAACCGACCAAGACTGAGTTAGTTCCTCCTAACAAGACAAAGTCGACTACCAATGACACGCACCGTATTAAAAGAGAAGCAATTTCTTAAAGTTGTTACTTCAACTGACGATTTTTGCCTGACCATTAGCGCAAATAACCTTTAAAAAAATCAGTTACTATCTATCTAGAATATTTAAACTAGTAGAACATACGGTATTTTCAAAAAAAGAAAATTCACTAGTTGCTGAACTGGAAAGTATAAATTGTATAAAATTCCCTGACATCTTCGCAGAAGTGATGCGAGTAATAAGACACTGAATAAGAAGGATGAAACGCAAGTTAATATTAAAGACTTAGATGCTGCGATCATGTTTTCGACTAATGTTATGAATGAACAAACAGAAAACAATAAACAGACAAATTGTTTCTTGAAAATTGTTATTCGAAAATCCATAAGTTGATCGTTAAAAGCAATTCACGTACACGCTGACCGGATCGTCAGGATCCGTTTCCACGAGTAAAATCGGCTAAGCACATGGCAAAATTATCACTAAAATTATCTGTCTCAGATTGGACGCATTTCCCAATTTTTCTTGAAAACTCTATCAAATATATATAAAACGTCTATGAAACATTTATAAACACATAAATTTCCTTTCATCATCGTACTTTCCTTGAGCATAATGTGTAAAATGTAAGTTTACCTGAAAATTCTGTTAAACGGTTGCTTACTTGGTAGCAGTTCAGAAAAGGAAAAACCCTCCTCCGTGAAAGAAACAAGGTCGAGGTCCTCGAAGTAAATTTCGCAGCTTAAGACTTTTCTTTGTCCCCAAAAAGGAAAAAAAAACTTTTACATGTCACACGTCTAATCAAAACTGCCATACATGTATTCGCTTACTGTTCTGAATGAATTAAAAAATCTACACTCACAAAAAATAGATTCCGTTCCGACTTCGTCGGCGCCTTGTAAAACGTTTCTGTAAAGCTTGCCATATCATTTTGTTTGTAGTCACCATGCTGGTTTTGCTGAATGAGAACAGAAGTTGCAGATAACTGGTTTGCCGAGGTAGATAGGTTTGCAGCTAGTAGCCTGAGGATGATCTTTGTCGGTCAAAGAGGCTGCAAACGCGTTTTGCTGATTTTGGCGAGAGGCTCTTCGATATCGTGAAGAAATGTAAACATCCTTGCCTTATTTCGTGGCTGGTCGATGTTTTCAAGCCATGACAATCATAACTTTGTGGCTCTTTATGTTTTCCCAGGGTTGCAGCATGATTTCCTTATCTTTTATGCCACAAAACGATTTCTTTCGGTAATAGACAGGCTTGTAGACATACATGTATAAGCGTTGCAATCGTTGCAAGCTCAAAGCTTGAATTCTCTGATTCCATATTTGGGAAAAATAATTTTCCGTACGTCTGATTGGACGGCTGCGTCGGCTAAAAAACCCGAGCATGGTTCTAAACAGACAAGGGGAATTTCGGGGGTTATATGCTTCTGCTGATTACCGATACAGCAGTCGTGCATCACTTTTTCACAACATTTTCCACCAGAAAAACGGACAGTCTGATGTACGAGAGAGACATTTTGTTGAAATCTGATGGTCACATGTCAGAAGATGATGTTTTCAAAAGGAAAGTTTGATGGACATGGTGTTACCTTACTTATATTGCCGCAGAAGAGCAGTAGAAGAATATAACAAAATAGGCAGTCAAGGACTACATGAGTCTACTGCTGGCTACCGCTAGCTACTGCTAACATTGGTCAGTCGTCAGTTATCTCTGAGTTTCATCATCAAAATTTCTTACTGTCACGTTTTATGTGCTGAGCATCATGCAAGTCTGACTGAAGATTTTATTAGAATTATCGCTCAGTTAGTAATATATATCTGTTGTCTTATATAAAAGAATACAAATACGAGCCGTAGAGAATCATTGTAAGTTATGTACCGATGTGAATAATAAAAGTGATGGCGAATTCGCACTTCCGGTAAACTGAACATAAATTTTCACTATAAACGTTCAAGCTGATTGCATTTGGAAATAAACATTGCGTATTGCCATGCAATGACTGTCACATCTACATTCTTTATGCTAGTCTTATTTTTGTACTAAGGAAAGAATTCTTGCTGATTTTAAGAACTAATTGCTGGAATTCGACAAACTCTTCCGATAGACCAATTCTTTACATTCGTGATATCGTATCACAACTAAAAGCATCGGCTTCCTCAGCCCTTGGATGATATTGGTATTCGGCTTAGCTTGCTCAGAATCGTTTGTATGCAAATGAAAAACCTAAAGATTTGCTTGCTCAACAGTTACAAAAGGTTGCGTGTCAGTCGCCTTCGATAATCTGATGATGAATGCTGGAAAACAGATCGTGCTAATACTGCATAAAGTGCATTCTACTACCTTTAAATTTACGTTTACAAAGCTGTAGCATCTCTTCAAGGCAGATTTACGTAGATTCAATTTTACCAGTACGAAGGAAAATTAGCAGTGTGAGGCACTTTGAATTGCGAGGCGGTGCCGATCATCCTTCGTTCACACTTCGATCGTTTCGACACTAAAGCATTCTTGAAAACCCGACACGACGATGCAGGCTATTCGATTCATATTAAGAGCGAATGCACAGGAAAATCGCGCAAAATCGGCAAATCGTGGCCACAGCTCAAAACCTAACCTACCCTCATTTTCAGTCTGTAATGAGGTTTTAATGAGTTTATAACACTGCTGAGGTTTAAATTTCAAAATGCGGCCGAATTTGGGAATTATTTGAGATTTTCGATTTCAACGATCAGCGGGCCTAAAATTAGCCGCCGAACTCGGGAAAATAGCCCAGTGACAGAATTGAGCTGACTTTCATAAACGAGCGAATATATTGGCAATCTTCCACTTAAATCTCAAAAGACAGATATTAACAATTTCTGAACGGCACATTTTTTAGATTTAGAGAATAAAATATCGACGAACCAGCAGAATTTTGAAACGTAGATTGCATAATGCTTATAAATACAACAATTTACCGCTAAAACCAAAATCGAATTTTCTATATGGGGGAATTCTCCAAATCACCCCGAATCCCGCTTACTACCTAATGAGATATAGTACTTCAACATTATCTGAAAATTAGTCTGGTGTTCTTGCGAACGCTTGTAAAATAGATTGATTATTTTGAGGTTATTTTGCCCCAAACAACCGCTAATTGACCCCAGGGTCAATTGACATTTGCACGTCACCTTAGTTTTATGCATCGATTTGAGCTCGTTAAAAGTGAGAAACTAACAAGATTCTTTTAATATGTTCCTGTTTTAATGAAATACACGCAACCTTCAAAAGGAGAGGGCGTTCAATGGGTAATTTCTGTTCTTGAGGTCTTGTAGATTGCAGCATGGCGTCTGCGAGAGGACCTGAGTCTAGGTCTGTTTTCCCGTGACTGCGAAATCAGAATAACATCAAGAAATAATTCTCCCTCGAATCTTCGTAAGTGAATCAGCTTTACAGTGCCTTACCTGAGATAAAAAGTGGGCCGAATAGCAAAACATTTCTAGCGCAATTTGGATCCTTTGTGGAACGCAGTGTATTGCTGAGCGAAAGGTGAGTAAACAAACGTGGGAAAGTACGTTACCTTTGATTGCGTGACCAGCCAGTAAACGATAGTCTCCAGCGAAAAATAGGATTCGCAAAAATCTTGCTGATGTATATTTAACAGTTTGTTACTATAAATTTACACCTGGTTTGTCTAAAACTTTAAACAATGCATATCTGTCCAAGAGTATAAGAATGTTTCGAAAGATCCACCCCTAAATAACGGTGGGCTACTCCTTTTTCCCCATCACCGATGTGCACTTCCTTCCCACTGTCTTTTGCATGAGGCTTGTATGCCTTTTTAACTGTTATCGAC